TCTCAATTTCTCACTTCATTTGTTCTTGTTTTTATGGAAGATATAAATGAATTTCAGTGTCTTCTTTTTTTACAGGTTTCTCCTTTCTTAACCACAGCAAGACTGTATCTTAATATTTTAATTACCCGACTAGAATTTATAAGGGACATGCCCCACATAGTGTGCAGGCTTCCAAGGGGCATAGATTTCTCATGAAAATCGCACCAAAAAAAGTGGTGATACCAAAATGAATATTGCCTTGTGGCTTTTTTATAAGAGTCTTAAGGGGCAAACCTATCACATGTATAAACGTACAATTAAATCTACCCTATGGGGGCTCGATGAAGCAAATCCGTTTGAAAATACTCTCGGTAAAATGAAACAACTTGGTAACAATCCCCTTGCCTAATTATGACCGTTTCAATAAAATTTTTTACATTCACATCGAACCAACAGGTGTACTAATCCTAATATTGTTATTATAAGATAACTGAAACTAAACACATCAAATCGAACAACAGTAAAACGATTGCAATTTAAAGTATTATTGGGTACAAAAGAGCTCAATAACACAATCTTACTTACTTACAAATTTTATAAATAAACTACTACGAAAAAGAAAATCTCTTTATATGTATTCATGCGATGCTAAATATTTAGAAACGTACCTATAGTTTATGCAAATAATGAAAATCTCGTAACTACGTGTAAAATTATAAATGTTGATAAAAAAATTATTATTTATCTTAATGCTAGTGATGAAAGTAAAGAAATCATGTGTGTTATACCGTTGCTACATATGTAAAAGTAAATAGTTTCTCATTAGTAAAATATATTTCTCATTCAATTTAGTATTTTTTTCATCTATATATATAAAAGAAAGTCGTGTTAGTTACTTCACTTATAACTCAAGAACGGCTGAACCGATTTGGCTGAAAATTGATGGGGAGGTATCTTACAACCGGGAGAAGGACATAGGATACTTTTTATCACTTTCCACGAGAAAAATGTGGTATATGTAAACGCAACTGACATGGAATGACAAAACGAAATTGACAGCAAAACAAAAAATTTATCAGTCAAAACATCAGTCTAGCCTTTCATTTGTTAAGATTGCATGTTTGTTTTTGGTTCGATTTACTTGAAATTGATTAAAAAATTCAATCTCTGTTGGGGGGGATGAGTGGTGAAGAGGAGTTGCAATGTTTAAATGGAACATATTATTTGTGATCAGATTTACTTGAAACTTTGTTTTAATGGTCTCTCATTTAATTTCTGAAAGATCTATCTCGACAATTTAAAAAAGGGAAAGGTGTTGCAATTTTTGTTTGGGACATACTTTATTTATGGTTGAATTTACTTGAAACTTGGTATATATGCTGTTTGATATTATTAATCAAATGAAAAGAGGTTGCAACGTTTCCATGGGCTACATTTTATTTGTACTCGGATTTACTCGAAGGATGCTCATTGCTGAAATTAAGCAAATACGTGTTTTGGCAATTTTTAAAAATCAACCCTTAAGGATGAAATGTTGTTACTACGTTTGTATTTGAAAGATGGCGACATTACACAAAATTAAAACGTTGTAATTGGGAGCTAAAAGGTTTTATGGAGAAAGAATATTAATTTCTGGGAGCGAAGCCGCGGGGAAAAGCTAGTTAATAATAAAGTTCAGTTTTCCAAAAAAGGGGTAGTAATAATTTTTCCCCGCGGGGGCCACATTCCTAATAATGCGCAAATGCGGTAAGGCATTCTATGCCCCTTCCTCGCCCTAGGGGGCAATCTAATGGAGCCGACAACTAGTGGGCTACCCAGTTAGGGACCTTACCTGCACTCTCCTCAAAATTCTAGTCGGGAAAAGCTGAACACATAAATAAACCTGACTACAAAACATTAATTTTATTTGCAAAATGTAATCAGGATGTGTTTTCTTGTAGAAGGCATTGCAATCAATTGATCATTCGTCATCACAAGGCTGTAATCCTGTAGGATTTCTCCATTCTCTTATTACTCTTGTTTCTTCATATTTCCATCTAATTGCCTTTATGTCTTAGAACGATATCCTACCATCCTGTTTCTGCTTCTTTTTATTGACTTCTTCTATTGTTTTTTCTATCCATGGAATTTTTATCAACTGCGTAGAGCTTATAATTTTTTGAAAATTTCTATTCAATTTATACTTTTCATGGCTGCGACACTCCAAACTCGCACAAAATATTTAATCGTTTTCCCATGTTACAATAAATCGCCCTGTATAAATTTCCATTCAGGTAGTGTATCCAGGTGTTCAGTTCTCACACGTGCTCCCTGTACCCACCCAGTTCCGCTCGGCAGGATCATGTTACCAGGACGCACCCCGTTTCCAACTCCACAATTTCATTCAAATCTATCATCCTTTTGTGTGCCGTGCAAGGAGCACCCATACGGCGAGTTCTACATGTATACGTTTGTGTATGCTCATAACCTAACCCTACTGCTCACGACTATATGAAAAGGAGATACTTTGGTCGCCGAGGCGGCGCAAGAAAAGTCCTGCAGGACTTCTGTTTCCGGTCCCAGCCTTACGAACAATGGACTCCACGACCGTTTCTCTTTTACTTGTAAGAATAAGACGGCCGTTTTCTATTCTTTTCTTTTTTTTTTTCTTTACCTTTTTTCGAAGAAAAGAAACGCGATAACGTTGAGATACTCGAACAGATGGCTCATATAGCGAAGCAACTGTCAATTTATAAGACGTTACAATTTCTTTGGCTAATCCTCGAAATGTATCGTTTGAATCTATATTAACCCTTTTAAAAAGTACCTACCAGTAGCTTTAATGTCTTTGATTTCCAAGTAATCCAGATATTTTCTCGTTTCGAGTTGCAATTTTAGTAAAAACAATAAGAACTGTTATTTACTTACCTTTTCGTTGTACAGCAACAACTGAAAAAGAGAAATAGTGCGATTAGAAATTTTAGGCAACACGTCCAAAATATTATTTTATTTTTCAGCAAAGAAAATCGTTCCTCAAAAATTAACCGATTATTATATAGGTACCCTTGGGCAAACGCCACATTTTACAGATTTAGTTTCATTTATCTAGCATTATCTTTTTTTTTTATCATAAAAGAAACTTATCCTAACAATTTTCCATTATTAGAAAATCATATGCGAATGTGCCAGTCTGTTTGTTAGCTTGCTACAATTTCACGCCTTAAATACTCAACCGATCAACATGAAGTTTTGTACACATATTGTAGGGGGTACAGAAAAGGATATAGGGTACCTTTTATCCAGAAAAAATACTGTTCCCCAGGGATAATAGGAAATTAGTTTTATGTGGTCGTCGATGATCTCTGACACGTAGGACATCAACGTAAGCGAAGCCGCAGGTAAAACTTATCATGAAATTTTGTACACATATTGTTAGGGGTACAGAAGAGGACATAGGGTACTTTTATCCAGAAAAAATTATTGACAGAAAAATTAGTTTTATGTGGTCGTTAATGATCTTTGAAATGTGTTTTGGACATGAACGTGAGCGAAGCGAGAAAGTTACATATATTGGCGTCTAATTTTGAAGTTCTCAAGATTTTTACAATCAGCGGTCAAAAAATTAATAATTTATTAAAATAATTTGGGACAACATACGTGTATATATATATATATTTACAGATAAATTATATACCAAAAATGTGAGAAATTTAACTTGAACTGTCTACTTGTCGTATCTACCTATCAACCCTCCAAAAACAGGCGCTAACGACTGTATTAATGACAGGTTTTCATGATAACACAAGCACACTTATTACAGTACGTATAATTGCGCCTTTCTATTGCTTTAGCTCGAAAATGCCATCAATACATTTTCATTTATTCCAATGACCGTTATAATGTATACATAGTACTATCTACGATCGGATCTAGAAATGATGAAAAAACATTCTCTTAATACAAAGTATTGGAACTTATTTGGAAATTTTGATTCTTCTTACATCGTGTACACAAAAATGCATTTTTGAGGTAAAGTACTAAATTATTTATTGTTAACGTTATACTTCTCTCAATCTCCATTGTTTTGAATATAATTTGGTTAAAACTCTCAAAGGAAAAGTATGTCCTTAATCCTTACAAGTATAGGGAAATTCGTACGAATATCTTTAGCCATTTTTCCATGCAAATGATAAAGTAATTACATATTTCCAAGTCTGTGGGGCGTGTTACACCTTATTCTTTAAGGGTTCGGTTAGTTTAGGACAGTTTTTAGAAAAAAATGTAATATTTTCATCAGATGGAATTTCCACATTTGTTTTCGACTATTGCACACGAGAAGTTTCATATTAGAGAGAAAACCTTTTTTACGTCGGCATATGACACTTGTAGACATCTTTTAACCATTTTTTATTATATTGTCGTCAAATAGAATTAGTGTCCTTCTTATATCCTTAGATTGTCATCATAAGATCGTCAGTCCTAAGACTGGTTGGACACGCGCCTTCACTCTTTCCTGTCCTGAGCTAATCTTCGGAAATTATTATTAGCCTACTCTCATTTGAGATGAAATCGTTAAATCCACTAAAAATTATTAGGAAGTAGGGTAAATAGGGTCTCGTTATCATTCGTAATGAAACACACTCGTAGAAGAACATCCTAGAAACAGGACAATCTTTCGCATTCCCGCATACTACACATGGCTGGAGAAAAGCCTCCGCGAAGAATTTGAATCGGACGTCAGCCATCGTCCGCCCGCACCGCGCCGCGCCGCGTCGCATATGCCGCACTTTTCAACCGCGTTCACGTACCACGTGGGGCGTGTGCAGGTGCTCCGCCAATGAACGCACCAACACAGTCCGCGGGGGCGTTTCCGCGTGTCACGCACACATGCACGACACAAGGGCACACGAGAAACATTATCACGCGGCCCCCACATCATCGCCCGCGTCCCAGTGCCGCGATCCGCGTCCTAAAACATACGCGTAATAACGCGCATACGTATCGCACGACGCACGCACGGAAAGCAAGCAAAAACCACGCATCGAGTCGTTGCATCCGTTCTCGCGGGTCGCTTCGCTCGGATCGGTTCATCCGTCTGTCTGTCCGTCCGTTTTACGGATGTAGGTACCCACAAAACCGCCCATTGTCCGTGTGGAGGTACCGCACGAATGCGACCGGCAATTATCGGCGCCGGTGCTGCTCTTACGGTACAATTACCCGACCAAATAACCGGCACTTAGTGACAGAAATTAGCGGTTACCTTATTGAATTATATTAGTGATATAAACATTAGTTCGCGACTGTTGAACATCGTTCACTTGCTTCCTTTATACTTAGTAGTTGGTAGGTAGGTACCTACCTACGTAATAATAATAATAATAATAATAATAATATTACATAGGTACAGATACGTTATTTTTGTATGTGAATGTGACGCTACTGTCTGCTGCAGAATGCACGGTAATTTGGCTAATTCGTGAAATCGGTAATTAGACACAAGGCCGGTGATTAGCGGGGCTAATTGGGCGCACAGTTGGAGGAGCTGCCGTCCGATTCTTCTTCTTCTTCTTCCACTTCTTCCGTGGACAACATGAGTTGCGCGTATTCCTACCAACTGCAAGCTACCTCCTCTTCACCTCCTGCTGCTACCGGTGCCGATTTCCTCGAGGTACGTCTTGACCTTTATTCGTAATGAAACTTAATTACCCGCCATTTCTGTCTTGTCATCGAATAATTATGCCAAATAACATCGTTCCACTTCCGGTCATAAAACCACCCAGAAATGCTGCCAAACAATCTACCCACTCAATTAAGACGTTTTCTACAAGATTGCCCTATTAGGTTTATTAATGATTAATTAATTAACTACTATTAATTAAGTAAGAGTTAAGAGAATGTAATATCGTAAAGGTAAAATGAAGTAAAGAAACCCATTTTCATCTCTTCACAGATGGACGATTTCAAAACCAAATATAAGACAACTCATATCCGTTTCTAATCACACAGTGTCATAAAAAGCAGTCTCTTTGAAATGTAATTGATAATTAACTGAATGTAAACAATGAAACGCCAGAGTTTGATTCGCTATCAATCATATTACACTACATCTATGTATATTTAGGAATCATCAATGATCATATCCCAACAAAATTCCTGAGTTTATAAATGATTTGGTATCAATTGGTATGCTATGTGCAACCAGCTTTTGCACTATAAATCTGCTTCCGGGATTGATGGTTATAATCTTGGAATCATGAAATGATACTCCCCAGGTGGTTCCCTGGTTGTATTTGAATTTCCAACGTTTTGTCAAAAAAGGTACAATCGTCGGACGGAAACTGTATCAGTCCTTTTGCCATGGGAAGAACTACATACGTCACTTATACGATTCTACAATAGTCCTGAAGGATTCATAACACATTTGCCGGCGAAACGTTGGAAAGTAAACTCCAATCGTGGAACCTCTTTATGATAAGGATTCCAAAATTAATATAGACCATATTCGACGACGTATAACTATTTTATTCCTCTGGATATTTTGTTTTGTAACACTTAATACAGTAGCATGTGTCAATCAATTATTTATTGATGATACGACTACCTATCCCATAATTAAATAAAATTAGAAGGTAGGTATCATATCAGCTATAGGTTAATCGGCAATCATCAATAATATGAAACAGTAATTGTTATTTGTATCTGAAATTAAATAAACATGTTTATGTCTGCTTCTCTAGTAGGTATGCATTTTTTCGTTCAATTAATTATACCCGTATTAAAGACGTATTAATCACTGAATTAAATCATATGACCTAGCTATGTACGTTATAATGTTAATGATTATATTCGGATAATTATGACACCTATATAAAACTCTTCATTTTTTACGAGGTATAATACAGTTATTATAATTTTCATGTTCAATTTATTAAGTAATTTGTCTTGTTGCTGTTTTGTATTTGTGTTATTATTTATATCTATATTTTTTTCTCTTTATTTTGTATAAGAAACAGCTGATGTGTAAGATCATCTTTGTAATGAATTTTTAACTGCTTTTGAGTCTAGTAGCAAAATTATCTTGAAATTTTCAAGGATTAAAATTGGATTCCTTTGAAGTTAACTACCCGTAAGTGATGGAACATGATCTCCGTTTTAAGTTCAACAAAAAACATCTACTAAATATAGAGGATACTAGATAGAATAAGTGGGTGGCTTCAAAGTCAAAAAATTTATTGGTTTCTAATCATATTATCTTCAATCAAAAGACACTAAACCAATCCAAGTAATGCTCTACTTGATATATGTAATTGATAATACATTACGTATGAACGGAGAACAAACCCGAAAATTCAAGGCTGAAGCCAACACATATAGTCCTAAAAGGAAACGGAGGAGTATGTGGTCCTTCGAGCCGGACTTCGTACTTTAATTGGTGTTGTCTTTACCTACCGTAACATTTTGATCCTAACCAATCGAAACGAAATCAAGCTTATTGTCAAGAAGCTTAAAATCAATCAGTTACATAAATCACATTGTTTCCGTTCAATTAATTATCAATTGCACATATAAAAGAGCAATATTTTTCATTTGATGAGAGATATGATTAGAAACTGAATTACATATTTGACTTTGAAATCATCTTCTGTAAAATTAATATGAGAAATGTTCAATAAAATATCATATAATAACCTTTTTAACCTAAACCCTCTTTTTTTCTATGCAAATGCATCAGTGCACTTATCAAGAAAGTGGGGTTGATGCTGTATTAAAAGGGATAGTGTGATAGGATCTTATTACAAGGCACTAGCCACTGTTTTTGGAGAAATATCAGAAAGCTTTCATGACTAATTAAATACAATTAAGTACATATGCGTGCTCTTCTTAAATGACATGCTCATTGAATTTTTTCCGACTTCCTCCACACGAGAAACGTAAATAAATTACAAGAATTAATTTCTTTATACGACAACTGCATAAATTCAAGCCCAATTAGCACACTATCACAACAACAGTGTCTGCAAACAACTGGATGTACTGTGTCGTAAACTAATTGAAAAATAAACAGAGTTTAAAACGCGAAATTATATAGGCGCATCGCTACGCCACACAACCTATACTCAAGTGCTACCTAAATACACACAAATGGTGGATTTCTTATGGAAATTACGCCAAGTGAGCCTCTGGCTTGGGGCACCCTTAATAAATTACTGCGCCCAGGAATATCGGCTCTTTATCGCATTGATTGATGACCGACGCGAGGGACGCGCACATCAGTGAGGCAACAGTAATAATATAATTCGGCGATCCATGCATGGATCGATGGATGTACGAAAATTCACTACGATCGAAGTGTGTCGCCTTTTTCGACCATGTGGTGGGAACTTAACGTAGTACACGTAATAAGTAGTGCCACTACCTATATACAAACAGGTACGAATTTTATGCATCCCTAATGGAGCGCAATTTATGCTAAATTATGTCCGTTTGAATATTAACTGGCACTAAAGCACGTTCACCACGTTTATTTATTATAGTATTTAACGGATAACTCGATTTGAAACATTATAATCATTGGCCGGTTGATTATAACTTATTACCAACAACAACAACAACTGCTCGTTTATTAAAAGTTTAAAGTGATAATAAAACATTGTTATTAATTCAAATTATGGTGGCATCACGAGAAAAAGCAATATTATCACTCATTACACGATTTTACATGTAATATTCAATTTATGACTGCTGTAACTTTAAAATGATGACGTATGTTAAGTAATGATAAGATTCATCTCTTAAAATATTTCATCAACGATTCATAATAAATTTCAATTTCTCCTTGAAATCATAAGGCGCAAAAACCTTTCGTTCAAATGTATACTTTAATTTTGATGTCGGGAGACATCATGGTACGACAAAATTTTTTCTGATATAGTGTCACAGTTTTCATGACAATTCTCAAAAATCCTTAGATTTGTGAGATGCAAGCAAAATACAAAGCTTCACGACAGTGGAAGAACTATCTTCTGCTGTAATCCTTGGAGAACCATTATACTCAGGATCTTAGCATTTAACGTCTTCCTTTTGTCTGTATATATAACCCTAGTACAGATGCATATGCAAAGTAACTTGGGTACTTTGACATGATCCTGTCAGTACCTTCAAATATCATGAATGTCATATCGAAATAGACTGCTCATCATTACCTTATTAAGTGATGAACCATGAAGTGACTTCTCAGAGAAAGATTAGATATAGTAGCATTATTAACAGATTGTCTGTTGTACAATTATGAGTCAATAAGCTAGAAAGTATAATTATCCATATTAGTTGAAACCTACCAGGACTGATGGGGTGTATGAAGTTAGATTTTGATTTATCACCGTGTCCATCAGCCCAGAAATTCTATCTCCTATTGATGACACTGGCCGTGAAAACCTCTCTACTATTATTGTAAATTCCCGACTAGGCTTGCCTTATGTGGGTCTTCACCGTAATTTCCTCATTAGGATATTCACTATCGAGAGGCCCAGAGGTTTAGACCATTGCTTAGCATTCGGTTAGAGTTTGGGTCCGTCTGCCCAGGACCAAGTTTTTCTGTAGTTTTCTTGGATCACTCAGGCAATAATATTTGACTCTCGTCTATCACAATTCATGCGTCTCATCTTTCTCAACCCAACCACCACCTATCCATTCCCATGATTCTTAATAGGAGGTTCTGTGCTACTCTCTTGCGTATTCTGGAGGAACTGTCTGTCCATCAGCATTAGTAGCTGGTGGGAGTAAAACGCCCAAAAGTTAATGGTTAACCCTCACAATAAAACTCAATACTATTGATGTGAGGTATGCCTTATGAGTCTTTCGTAAAGATCCTGAGACAAACTCAGCACATGCAGAAGTGAGGAATCTCACCATCTGCCTTGTGGAGGTTCAATTTGGCAAACATCAAATATGATATCTAAACAAACTTCTGATTATCGGCTGATGGGCTATATTTGAAAATTATGAGTTGGTATAATTCGATTGATTCTTCCAAAATTTCTTTAAAGCGGACAGCCCTTTTTTTCCTCAGGAGGGTCAGATGTTCTTTGTACGCTTTGCAAGGTATCCTACTATAGCTAACTTTATTGAGGTCCTAGCTGTCCCCCCCCTCCTTAAATTCTACCCGAGTACCAGTAGAAGAGAAAATACCTGGACTAGTGGACCGTAGTGAAGTTGGATACTGATTTCCGGATCAATCGCTGGAATCCTTCCACTGTTGACTTTTTGGATTCGTTTCTTCAATCTTTTTCGATAACATAAACGCAAACTATCAATAATTTTACGGTATTGATTAATGGATTGAGAGAACAGAGTGAGATGTGGTGTGTGTGGTTGGGAAAATGTCACCAGTGACGGTGTGACGTCTCGCACGTGCACGTGTGTGGCCGTTGAAGGTGACGCGGTAATATAAATTGCAGATTCCCGTATTACCATCATCGGAACGTGCTTGGACGGATTCTTTGATCTTGCCGACGCCGAACGAAATGTCCAACGTCGCGGTGGGAGGAGTGGGAAATGGCGCGGTCCGTGACGCCCTCTTTAATTTACATGCGAGGCCATTTGTCTTTATTGCATGTACATCTATATATATCTATCTATATATACACACAGACACGGAGAAACATATAG